GCACTGTGCTGGCAAAAGACTTGCTCTGAGAAGGGGCGGGAGGCCGGATGCCATGCGGCCTTGTAGGCCGCGGTCTGAACTCCAGATTTTATTCCCAGTAAAAAGAGAAAGCCTTCAGAGGACGCTAAGCAAAATAGCAATAAAATAATCTTGTGTTTTTTAAAAAAAAGTCCCTTCGGCTGTTCCGAGGAGAAGGTATTGTAGGGCGCGCTCACTTGCTGATTTAAGTGGAAACAGAAAGACCGGCAAGGAGGGTCAGCAGTCCAGGCGAGAGACCAGAGCGGTCTGGGGAAGGCTGCGGCCTGGTCCGGGACGCGGCTGGGACGCAGGGCTGACAGGGCTGGCCAAACGTGATGCGGACGTGGGGCGGCAAGGAGGGGCAGTCGGAAAAAAGAGGTTTTGAGGGTGGCTCCTAGGATTTTGGCTGGTGGGGCGGGGACAGGGAGCTGTGAACGGTGGAACAGTTCACTAACATGTGCAGATGTGTCCAAATAAAACCAAGGGTTCTGTTTTAGATACGGAAAGGTTAAGTAACTTGTCCGAGGTCATATCACTAACACGTGACAGAGCTGGATTCAAACCCAGACTGGTCAGATTTTACAGCTCAGTGATATTATAACGTGTAAAGATGCTACACGTGACAGCTTTTCGTTGAAGGACGTGGCCTGCCCACCGAGCGGGAGCGCACCGACCTGCTCCGCGTGGCCCTTTCGCATCTCCAGCACCGCCAGGTTGTTGTAGGCCTCCGCGTGGCTGTTGTTGTTGGCCAGAGCCAGCCTGAAGCACTGATGCGCCAGATTCGTATCTCCCGTTCCCTGCAGAAGAAAAGCACATATTCTCGCAGCCAGCTCCTTCCATCTTTCTTCATATAAACTGTTTCTAGTACCACAGGAAAAGCCAAAACTACCAATCAGTGGAGTCAAGTGCGAATGGTTTTTGTTTTTTAATTAACTTTATTGGGGTGACATAGGTTAATAAAATTATATAGGTTTCAAGTGTACAGTTCAATACATCATCTTTATATAATTCACAACCCAAAGACGAATCTCCTTCTGTCACCATATATTTGACCCCTGTAACCCATATCCACTTCCCTCCGACCCCCTTCTCCTTGGTAACCACTAAACTTGTCTGTGTTTATGAGTTTTTGTTTGCCTTGTTTGTTGCTTTCAGTTTTATATCCCACATATGAGTGAAATCATACGGTCCTCAATTTTTTCTGACTGACTTATTTTGCTTAGCATGAATTGTATGTAAGAAGATTTAACCTGGGACTATAAAATGAGTTATGGCGACTTCTAGAAATATCTAAATTCCTACATAAGCCTATCATCAAACCTGAATTTATAATACCCGAAAATGTCTTCAAACTAACTTGTGGCTGCCTTTTCTACAACAAAAATGATATTAGAGAAGCAACATACCACAGCGACATGCCCCAAGTTGTACCAGACGTCAGCTGCCTCCTCTTCATTTTCAGCCAGAGAAAGGGCACGTTCAAACGAGGTCAGAGTCATATCATACTGCTGGGCATAGAAGCAGCAGAGCCCCAGATTGTTAAAAAGCTGGCAGTTATAAACACCCATCTGCAGGAGTCGCCTTTTTGGAAAAAGAGCACACAGATTTTGATGTCAGACTAACATTATAAACATTAAGGCATATATATATTTTTTACAAAGTTAGAAAGGAATTCATTTTATAATTTTTAATACCCCCAAAGAATATAAATAGAAATATTACAGTAAATGGAAAAAAGTGTTGAAGTAAATACATAAGCATGTCTTTTTTAATGGTACTAATAGTGGGAAACACATCCAGAGGCAAAGTCATAAACCACGTATAAGTTTTCTCTCCCAAAAACTTTGCTAGAAAACCAAAATAAGAAAGAGTCACATAAAGTAAAACCCACATATTTTTGCTTCATAAAGCTTTGGTGCCCATAGATAAATTCCGAAGACCTTCTAATCTAATTTGAGGACTGTGTTTAGCATTTACTTCCAAGTTTTCAGCTGAGTTGGGTCCTGTTTTCGGTTATCTGTGTTTTGGGGGAGAGCAGCATCTAATGACCTTTAATGAGCTTCCACCGAAGCAGTGGACCACTCTGTTATCCACTTAGCTTTCCATGCTGCAGCTTGAGAAGCCCATTTTGCTTCTACGCATCATTAATCCCAAACAACAAAGGATAAGAGTTTAAATAAGCAAATGAAATCCACCCCAGCTGCCCTGAGGAACAAACGCATGACCCACTTTTGGGACAGAGGAGCAGAGTCCGCTGCATGTGACAGCATTTATATTATCATGTTTTATGCTTGCAACATAAATTTGGAAAGAACTGTTATCAGCTGCCAGTTATCTCCTTGTACATTACCTAAGGGCTGAAAAGGAAATCGAAATTTAAAAATTAATCTGAAACCATCTGTAGGATGAAATAAGTATATGCCCAAAAGAGAAGCAGAGAATAGAACTTATTTAGACTGAAGAATTATCTGAACAAGAGTTGGCAATACTTTACAAAACAGAGGATCCTATTTCAGGTCCTCGCCAGGGCTCAGAAAGAACCTGGGGCTCACAGCTCTTTGCAAACCTCATCACTATTTCAGCTTCGGGGTCTTTATATTATATACAGTGGTATTAATGAAGGCAGCGATGGTGAGAAGCACTTCTAGTAACTATTAAACTGTTATTGGTCAGTGACAGAATGGCTACTTCACACAATGACATGGTCAGTCGATTATCCAGGTGAGTTTCTACGAAAAGCCAAATATTTGTGCCATTCCAAATTATTAGATGTCACTTTAATGTTCATAAAACATCTGGTTGTTTAAAGTTTTAGTCTCATATAGACATGGCCTATACATTACTTTTCTACAGTTTCCTTCCATCTTTATTATCATTTCCCCACAATTTCACGGGAAAGCGGTTCTAGAAGTTGAAGATAAAGCACACCTGTAAAACCGAAGCGCTATTTCTGGTTGGTCAGAATAAAAGTGGTTGCTCCCAATGCACGCGATGGCTTCCACGTGGGTATTGTCCTGTTTCAAGACTTCTTTGTAGTATTCAGCTGCTGATGAACTATTGTTCATTTCCTATTCTCCATCAAGACAGAAGAGCAATACTTTATTAATATTGCCAAGAAATTTTTTTTCCTAAATGGTCTACATTCCTTCATTCGATAAATGTATATGAAGAGCATACTAAGTGCCAGACTCTGTTCTCGGCCCTGGGGACACAATATGAACAAAAACATCAAGTCGCTATCCTACATCGGTAGGGATAACAAATAAATAAACATGTGATGTGATGTCAGGCAAAGATAAGTGACATAAAGAAAAACAGAGCAGAATAAGGAGAGAGGGAGGGGGCGGCCTCAGGAGGGCTCTGGAGGAGGTGCCAGAACCCAGGGCGAGGCCGGAATGAAGTGGGGTGTTGAGACCTGGACACATCTGGAGAAGCGAAATCTGGACAGAAGGAACAGCAACCGTGAGAGCCTGAGGTGGGAACACACTTGTCACGTGTGAACAATCACACGAAAGCGAGGGAGGCCGCAAAGAGGGAGACCCGAGAGGGAGCCGGGGGCTTCGTTAGTCACGGCGGGAACTTCAGGTCTTTTCCTAAATTGAGCGGAAGCCATTAGAGGGTTGAGAGCAGAAGAGTAAGGCGACTCTGTGTACATTTTTAAAGAACAACTCAGTGGTTACGCACGGTATGCACCAAAGCGGGGGAGAATGGTAGCAGGAAGACCAGGAGTCTCCCTGATAATCACAGGTAAATGCATTTATGTTATTAACGAATGCTATGTACTTCGAATCTACCTCCGAGGCCAGTTTGAGCTCCTCATTCTTCACAAAAATTTCCCTCCTGCCCTCACCTCACATGGCCCTGATTTAACTCTCAGCTTACGTGGCACTTAGTATGTGAACCGATCACGTGTTCTTGTCACATGAAGACTCATATTTTTGGTTAGATTTTAATCCTAACGTATTTCAACAAATCTAAGGGACTCCACCGATTATAAGAAGTACCACGCAATGCTTTTTACGAAACAGAATTTTTTTTTTTATCTCCATGGACTTTTTTTTTTTCTTAAGGACTTTTTTTTTTTAAGCACTATTAGATTCACAGCAAAAATGAGGAGTCATTACAGAGATAAATGCATTTCATTATTCGATATCAAAAAAATTACAGCTATTAATATTATCACCAATCTTATCAATGCTAGTATTAGGAAAATACTTTTGACCTTGGGAAGCCCGTGAGAAGGGTTTCAGAGACCCCCAGGAATCCTTGGACCACACTTGGAGAAATGTTGATATTAGAATGATATTCGGGGCCTTTCCTCCATAAGGAAAACAGAGCAAGCCTGTCTCAGGCCCTCTGGATCATTCTGGAAGGCAACCTGCCTGTAAGGTGCCCACACTCTCTGCCCTGCCACGTGGAGCAAGCTCTTCCAGGTGGAGAAAGTCTGCAGGTCGCACAGTCGTGGCTGTGACAGGGTGGATTAGTCTGTCTAACTCAGAGGGAGAATACTATGAAGTCCATTGGGTCACCACATGCCCTAATTCTGCTTTTATCACTAATAAAGTTAATGGTTTATCCTCCATCTGTCTGTATCTTATATCTATCTCTCAGTTGGTTCTCAACTTGGAATGAGAAACTGGGGTGTTATTTATTAGTCCAATAAAACCTCAATGAAATATTCATAGGCTGATCCAAATTCATGCTTTATATATTTTTTTCACATATATTATATCTGAAATTCTTATTCAAAGTCCAGGATTTAGCTTCTTAGGAGAAGAGACTTTTTTATTCATTACTTATAGCTAAAAAAAAAAACAAACTAAATTTTTTTTTAAAATTCAGAATCACCTAGTGGGCTGGTTAAACACAAGCATGCCCGCATCCCACCTTCCAGGAAGTCTGATTCAGTCAGCAGAGGATGGGCCGTACTTCTCACACTCCCAGAGTCACTTTTATACACGGTAAGGTTCGAGGACCACTGGCATAATGTTTCCTAGGTTAACGTTTCTTATTTCAAACACCTCTTAACCAAGAACAGTTCAAATAAAGGCCTGCCTTTCGAAGGGATAAACGAAATGCCTCAGGAAAAATTAAAACCACCACCAAATAAAGGATAAATCATTTTAAACAAGTTTCTGTACGAAACAAGCAATGAACAACAGGCAGCGCAGCATGTTCGTTTTTAAATAGGAAACATTTAAAAGATACGAGACCAAAATGAAAGTAATAAATAAAAAGAAAAGAACGTAAGAGAAAAGTATGATGTACATACAAAAATCTCTAAAGGCACATGTAGTGTAGGCTGCAATGCTAGGGAACAAACTTACTAACCAACTCTAAATCCATTGACTCTTAAAGAGAAGGAGAATACGTCGGCAAAATGTGGTAAACTTTGCCCTAAGGAAAATTAATTATGTTAATTCAAGGGGAAATACTGCATCTGACTATTTCAAGTCAGCTTAGTCCCCGATCGCCCTATTTGCATGGTATTACCCCCACAACTAGGATGCTTTCCTCTCTACTCTTCTGCTCCTTCGAGCATGAACTCAATGCTACTTTTCTCACAAAGCCTGCCCCTGCACACTTATAAAAGGATATGTTCCTCCAACTCCTGGACAAATCAAAGCGAGGAAAGGAAGAAAGTAGCTGATTACAGGATCCGCTCCAGGTTGCGCTCCCTACCCCACGCGCAGCAACCGTGACTGTGACAGAGGCTCAGAAGGAATTCTCCTGACCAGACACCTCGTGTTAACGACGGCACACCCTCACTCTCTAACTCTTTCTGCTAGCACTTCCTGCCTAAGAAAGAAGGGCAGAAGGACTGAAATGTGCAGAAGGCAGAGCAGGAAGGTCAGAGAGCTCTGGTGGCATCAGAATAGTGGCCGCTGTGCATGAATGTCACTGCTTTCAAAAGCTAGTTTATTTTCTTCCTTTCTAAGCTTTTTGGTCAAAATTCTGTTCATGTTCAATTTGGGGTCACATGAGTAAAGATACACATACTGATACAGTATTTTTATTGATCGAAGTCTTCTATTTACATGTTTATCAAAATTATATTTCAAAAAAGGAAACAATATCTCTAGACAATTCAAAAATAATAGTTTTTCATTTTTAAAGTAATGCATGTTCATTACAGAAAATCTGGAAAATACTGAAAATATAAAGAAAATAAAAATCGTTCACATAGTACTACCCAGATATAGTAACAATTAATACTTTCCATTCTTTTTCTAATAAAACAACTTTTAAAATATCATACCTAGCATTTCAAGAAATTTAAGAGAGAACAGAGATCCTTCTTTTAAATATTGTATTGGAAGTCCTAAACAAACAATATTTTAAAAAGGGCTAAAAATAATTGAAATGAGGAAATGAAACTGTATTTGCAGCTGATTATTATTTTATTACTTAGAAAATTTAAGGGAATCTGTGGATAAAGAATTAAAATTTAAAGAGTATGTTGCCAGGTGCTAGTATCAAATCAACTTTTAAAAATTAATGCATTTCTACTAACCAGAAATAATCAAATAGAAAATACAAAAAAAGGATTCCATTAATATTGTATGTAGGAATACATCTGTGCAGAAAACATAGCAGGTCCGAGACTCTTATTCCCAGAAAGGCTGGCTTGCAAGCTTGGCCCTTAGATGGCATCTGAGAACTTGGATGGTTCCCTATACTGATATAAAATTTTCCCCAAATGATGGGAGTGGCTCACTGCACCTAAGCTGTTTGTACTAACAATGTGGTTTATGCTGAACACCTACTGTGCTTCTTAGAGTCTGGGATTTTGGTACATGATAGGCAGAGGGTGCCTATATGTCCAGCCCCCAATAATAACCTTGTATACCAAGTCTCTAACGGGCTTCCCTGACAGATAATGCTTCACACACATGGTCATAACTTGTTGTTGAAAAAATTACGTGTGTCCTATGTGACGCCACCGGGGGAGCACTCTTGGAAATTTGTGCCTGGTTTCCTTTGAACTTTGACCCATGTGCCTTTTCCCCTTGCTTTGCATCTTTCTAATAAATCACTGAACCTCAGGGTAGTTTTGGGGACCTTCAACAAAACACCTTTATAGAGATAGTTACAAAATATTTGTTGAAAAAAATGAAGATCTAAATAAATGGAAAGTTATATCATGATTCAGAGTGGAAAGAAAGGCAGCCTCCCCACTCCCCAATTCATATATTCAATTCAGTTCCAAACCATACCCCTGCAGGGCTATTTTTTTAATGGTTCTTGATAAGTCAATCCTAAAATCAGTATGGAAGAGCAAAAGGCCAAGAATAACCAACTGTGAAGAAGAAAAGCTGGTAGAATTTGCCCAACGTGGTATCAGAAATTATTGTAAAGCTGAAGGTATTAGGCAGCATGGAAGACATCTCAACGGGGCTTTTCATGGAATTTGACAACATGACTAAAATGTATAAGAATTAGCAAAAGTCCAAAACGGCCAAGACATTCCTGATGACGATGAAAAAGTGCCCTATCAAACAGTAAGTTTTATAAGACTACAGTAATTAAGATGGTGTGATATTGGTATGAAGTGCGACAAACAGACCAAGAGAAGAGAAGGCACCCAAACATATCTACCATATACAGAAAAAAAATTATATTTGGCATTCTAGACCTTGGGAAAAGGGCGATCAATGTACTGGGACAATCAGCTATCTATAGGGGACACTAACTCCCTATCCCATACGTTTGAAATATTTCATAATAAAAACTCAGCTTAACTAAACATTTACACTAAAATCTCTTATTCTGTTGGTAAACTATAAGCCAACAATCATAGTTTTATAAATTGTTCTACTTGCTGGTACCCCCAGGCTTCCTTAAGAAGCACAGTCTTAATTTCATGTGGGCGTTTTGAATACTGTGAACCTTACCTCATAGATCCTGGCAATTCCACAAAGTAGGGTCACTTCTCCTGGAAACTTATCTAAGCCTTGTTTGAAAAGATTTAAAGCAGTCACAGGTTGATCCAATGAGATGTAAACCTAAAGCCAAGATATATTTCGGTAAAAGTACTGATTCTTAAAATAATATAGTATTTGTTATGACAACTTTATAGTTACTGCTTAGTAACAAATTATCTCCTAGATATGACAATAAATTTTTTCACATTGTGTAGGATTAATATCCAATAATGATGTCATAGTTTGATCTCCCATGTTACATATGAAGCATTCATTCAGTTACTCCTTCAATACATGCTTACTGTGGCCTTACTATTGTCACAGAGGCTGACCAGTAACTAGACAAGACAGGATCAGGGCAAATCTTTTTAGGATAGAACAGACATGAATATGTCTAAAAGCTGGCGTTAAGGAATCAATGATGAGGCTGATGTTGAGCATGCAGCATGAAGAGGAGACGACCCATGGAACAGATCTGAGAAAGGGCAGCATGGGAGAGCTTGGGGAGAGGGTGGTTTCGGAAAAGGACCCTCAGAAACAAGAGGGGAAACAGATTTGCGAGGTCAGGGGTCGGGGAGTTGAGAGAGCTAGCACTTGATGGCCCCCACTTAGTTAGCAATGAGGACATTCGCCTGAATAACCCACACACTTAAGAATTATCTCTAAAATAGAGAATTATTACATGTATGTATAGAAACCTAAGATTATGACATTTTTATTTCTCCATGATCATGGAGCCTCTATTTCTTCCTATACAGCTAGATTGTGCTTTGAAGAAGGCCCAAATGGACACAGGGAAAACTGTTTATAGTGTTTATTGCTAAAGCGTGAGACTATAGGGTGAGTGAGATATGGGTGAAAACTTTTCAATTTTTACCTTCTAAACGATTTTTTAAAAATATAATAAATAAAACAATTCGATATGCTAATTAAAAATATTTAATATAATTTTTAATTAACTATCTAAAATTTTAAGAAATAATGTTTTTCCTGAAATCTTGATTACTTAACAATCACTCCTTCATATATTAAATAAAGTAAGTAAATTTCACCACTATACAGTCATGTAGGCAATTATAGATTTCAATAAATCAAGTTATAGAAAAATAGGTCACACCATGTATTTAACAATAATTAAAATTAAAAGTACATTTTTTAACCATGTGGCAAATGATTAACAATTAAGACAATAGCCAATAGTGTGACCTGAATTTTAATTTCAAGCTGTCAGAAAAGTTAAAAAGTCTACTGTGATACTTAGAATCTTCTCTAAGAATTTAAGTTTAACGTATAATGTCCAGGAGATAAATTTAGAGACCAGATAGTTTCATACATTTTTGAAAACCCCTGTATGCATACTAAGATTAGCACAGCAAGCTTATAGAGCATAATTTTCATTTTGTATCCCTTTAGTGTGCTGATTTTCATAACATTTATAAAGGAGCAGCCCTTCCTTTTACAGTTCGTCTTCTTTCAACCTTCTTTACAACACTTTTTAATTTTAAAAAATCTTAAAAATACAGTAAGATGATGTCATAACCACCATTTCATCAAATGTTTCTTTGGTGAGGATTAAGAAGTAACTTTAACCCAATGCTGAAAATTCGAGGTGGCCCTTCAGCTCTGTTGTGGCCGTGGGTGGCATATGAGGCAGTGTGTAGGCTCTGGAGTCAGAAAGTCCTGGGTTTGGACATTGGGTCTGAACAGCCGAGCGACACTGAAAATCTTACCCTCTTTATGTCTCCTTTTCCTTGAGCGTACAAAGGAAATATTAAAACCTACCTAGCATGGTTGCTATGAGGGTTAAACTGCTTATGGAATAGACTCGCTACAATACCTTAAGCTGAGTAGGTGTTCAATAAAGGGGGAAATATTGTTTTTGTTCTTATGGCAGAGCCAAGTAATAAAGGACCTCCATAAAAACAAGCCCTGTTCTCTACAGTCTGCTTAGGTGGGAGACAAGTGTGTTATTAAAAAAGAGGGCCTCTCTGGGGCCTGCTACCCATGGGTATGGTAAGCCTGAGGTATTTTCTTCTGCTCGAATGGGCAATCTTTCAAAGGGGTCTTCTTATTTTTCACGGCAATCAATTTCTCCTGAAACAGTTATTCTCCATATGGTCTCACTTTTCCCCTTGCTAAAAAGAAAAATCAGTTAAATCTGAACACATTAACTTGCCAAAATATTCCTGAAGAAGCTGGCAGCTCACCCCATGCACTGGCTGGAATTTAAACACTTATTCCGAGAAGACAGATTTCACTCAAAATTGAGAATACTTACTTACTTTTGCCAAGTAGAGAAATGTATCTACCATATCCTGCTGCTTCAGGGCTGATTTAAACTGTTTTTCTGCTTCACGATACATTCCTAACCTAAGAACAGCCATTAAAAAAATTAGACATGCAAATTAAAAACAAATACTATGGCATTTATTCATGACCCGAGGATATGGAGAGAAAAATTACATCTGTAAGAGTACCAAAGACACATATATTAACATGTGTGTTTACATAGTTTAGCAAAAGGTGCCTATTTCCCATATTCACTGTCTATCCAATAGTCAAATGCTGAGTAAAGTCTGTTGGCGATCTAGTAATCGCAGCAGGACTAAAAGCTGCCAGTGAGCCAGGTCACACCAGTTCACCACCCAAAAAGCTTATGATCGGCTGGACCTATGGCAAGTGACCTGAATAAATCCTTAGAGTCTCTATTTTACTGGAAAAATTAAAGGATGACATTTCTTGGAAAACACCTTCTGCGCTGAGATAAAACCCCATTTTTAAAGCCGTTCTTTAAATAATTTTGATGTTAAGTTGTAACTGCTACTTGAGTACATAGCTCTATCATTTTATTATTCTAGAAACATTTTACTTTCTTAATCTGATACAGATTACCCTAGTCTATGAATCTGAGATTTGTTCCTTGCCTAACTATAACTGTCCTGACGTCAGCAGCCATCTCCTCTGCCCAGGGACCATTCTGTCATCAGTAAATCAATCACCGAAGCACGCTTCAGCCTGTCCTTGATAGATCTGTTGGGGTCTCTCACGATGACTCATCTCCAGCCATCTCAGAGCTATTGAGGCACTTTATAATAATGCTTTTAGTTCGTGAAATAAAGTCAGGACAATACCCAGTATGTTCCACTGTGTTACTTTCATTTAAAGGCTTGAAAAAAACAGCTTTGATCATTTTTCCTAACCAAAGCCTCAAGTATTGGTGTGGCTATACTCAAAAAGCTGTTGAAAGACATGGGATTAAGGGGGTTAAAAGTGATCCCCAAAAAACCCGGCCTAAAGTTAGAGGGTGTGTGATGTGGCAGAAGCCCCCACCTCTTCAAAAGTCCCACAACTTCTATAAGGAGTATTGATAAAATGTTATCAAAGAACTCTAAAAGTTCTGGAACACAGCACATGTACATACATAACCCCAACTGAACACGTGAGTCTTAAAAACATGGCCGAAGTTCAGGCACTAAATTCCATGCACACCTAATTATCCACCAGAATCTGTATATTTTTATCTACTAAGTTGTCTCTAAAAATGATTTAAAAGAGTTGTAACAAAAAGACACATATAAAACAAAAATATAAAAACAGAAATAGATTTTTTTTTAATAATGGAGATGGAAAGATGAACAAATTAGAAAAAAAAAAAGCAAGCAGAGCTACTGAGCTAGCTGAAAAGAAAGAAAGGGAGGAAGGATGGGTCATTTTTTTTTTTATTATTATTGCATCCTCAAGAGATCATTTCTTCTAGTGCTATCAGAACGGAATTTACCACATGGGTTTGGGTGCAAAGGAAATGGAGCGGGCCAGGTATAAAGGAAATCTAGGAATAATGAAAACATCAGTCAAGTTCATGAACACAGGCCAATATCAGAGTCAGAGTCCAGAGATAATCCCCACCAACTGCCAACTTTTTTCTCTCCAATTTAATTCCATGAATACTGCCAAGCACCACCCGCATGCACATTTCATGATGGTGAGGAGACGCAAAAATGCAGATAACAACCACGTCCTGAAGGCACCAGTAAAGACTGAAATAAAACATGCTCACGGATAAATTTAGCATTATGCAGCGAGGGGAAAAGTGCTTTGAGAGCACAGAGGAGGAATGAACCAAGACAGTTGCCGGGAAGAAGTGACAGACAAGATTCTGACAGCTAGATCGGGTGAGGAGAGGGCGGGTGCACATTTTAGATAGAAGCAAACTATCGGCATAAGTACACAGGCAGAAAAGTACACAGCGTGTTAGGGGAATGCCAAGCTATTCTGCTTTACCTGAGAAAGGACACAATAAGGAAGGAGAGAAGTGACAGATACAGGCAAACGTGCCATCTGAGATAAGGGCATGAATTCTGCACCTAAAATCCAGACCTAATTCTAGAGGGGATGGAGATTAACCCAAGAATCCAACAAAAGCTGGTTTTTCCACAACAGTTACCGTGACAGTAGTACACAGGAAAGACTGGTGAGGCAAAAAAAAAATGGGAGGCAGAAAACCCAGATAACTAGCTAATGACACAATTCAAACAAATGACACTGACGGGCAGAAAGAGGGAGTTAGGGTGAGACTGGGTCATAAGGGAGTAACTGCGAGAGCGATTGCAGAGGAAGAACCAGTAGAACTAAGGGATCGGGAGCAAAGAGACAGAAGCCAATTGGGACTACATCGTCTAGTAACCATCCTTGACCTCCCCAGGCGAAATTAGGAGCTCTTTCTCTGGGCTCCCCCTGCTCCTGCAATTGCGTCTGTAATAATGGGAACCATGCCTGTAGTTGTTTGCTGTACTTTCGCCCTCCTTCAACTATAAACCATTTGAAGGAAGGGACTATCTAATAAATATCTGTTACACCAGTGTCTGCCAGAGTAGCTGTTCATTAAATATTTTACTGACTGAATGACCGAATGAATAAACGAATGCTGTGTCCATAATAAAGATGAGACACTATGAAGGAACTGAGAGGAAAGATATGACAAAGTGCACTCATTTAAATGCCATCTTATATGGATGGCAGAGGAATCCAATTTGTGCTTATCTTTAAATATTAAAGATTTCGGAAGGTTTTGCTCAGAAACTCCCGATTTCAAGGTTGTCTTCGGAAATTGTATTCATAAGAGTTTAATGTTCTAATGGTCTAAAATTACCTTTTAGCAGAAAATGCTTCCTCAATCTAACAGTAGGAAAAAATACTTAGAGCTCTATGTGAAATATCTAATTGGAAAGCAGTCTTAATTTCAACAGCAGAAGAAAATGTATCCTTTTTACTCCCTTTATATATTTCCTTTTCCTCACAGTGTTTGACTGAAAACTAAGGTTTATAAGTATTGAAAGATGCTCGCAGTAATTGGTCTACCTTGTTTTTGAATATTAAGACATTTATCTTTATAAAATATAATCATTCATTTATCCCTACTTTTCAAATGCTCCAAACATATTTCAATATCAGGGAATGAGTTTCAGGTCTGCATTACTGACTGCTGTATAATATTCATAAAATTAATAACAACTTTTCTGATCTCTCAATCTGCTTAAAAAAATGTGTTTAAATATGAAATGGATTAATGTAAGAATATTCAGAACCTAGAGAAACACTATGGAATTGTGCAAATAGTAAGAACAAGCACCAAAAAGCTGAGCTCAAATTCTTGGTCTGCCACTTGCTCGCTCTGTGAATTTGGGCAAGTCACTTCATCTTTCTGAGGCTCTGTTTTTCTCATCCGGACAAGGCCTAATAATACCAACTTCCTCGAGGTGCCGTGAGATTTCAGTGAGGGAATGTGATGTATGGACAAGCCATCTCCTAAATCTAAAGCACTTTCCCACGTGGGGCAACAGTGGAAATAATGACTCGAGAGCCAAGAAGAGCTGAGCGGGAATCAACAGACTCGATTTCAGTTCTGGGCCTGTTATGACAGGTTCCTGATGCAAACAAATCACGGCCTCGGGCCTCAGCTTCCTCATCTGAAAAGGGGTATTGCACCTGATGGTCTCAAAGTTTCCCTTCCCAGCTCTAAAATTCTATTATCCAAAAGGTGTCAGTTCTTAGTACCACCATGTGACCATTAAGTAACTGCTTTTTCAAGTGGGCCAAAGACACGGTTCTCATTTCTTCATGAGGAAGTCTATCCACACACACACCCCTAAACTTTGACGGATCTGATTCTTAACCATGTTGCCAATTCTAAGCCCTCCGCAAATCATCCAAATTTTACCTGTAGTAACATTTTCCAATCTGCACTTTCCACCACCAGTCCTTGTACTGAGAATGCTCTGTGGAGAGGGCAGCCAAGTCCAAAGCCTTTGAAAACATGTCATTTTAGGTTAAGATTTTCTTTTCTAACAATAAACAGAAACAATAAATAATGAAATAAACCACAGAGTTAGCATCCATCAAGACATACATTAGAAATCAGACAAACTCAAGCTGCTCATGATTCCAGATGGCCCCACCAACTTTCCCTAAATAATCAGTTCCAGACCAGAGTGCTGAAGGCAGATGAGAAGTAAACACTGATTAAAAGGAAGCAGATGTATAATACCTCTGATTATAATTTTAATATTTAAGGCACAAAATTGATATTTTAAAAATCCAAAAGCTTTTACCCTCCCCCCACCATGTATTGACTGTCTACTGGCTCAAAATGCCTTTGACTCAGTCAGTGGCAATCAAGCCTTTGGTATGTTAGCCAGGTCCAATTGCAGGCCCCACTTTAAAACAGAGATGTAGCAAAATAGAAAAAGATCAAGTAAACAGGTAGAAAGGTTTGGAAACAGGATCATGAAGAAGAGCACAAGGAGCTGGGGTACTTGGGTAACTGCCATCTTCAAAAACCTTCATTCCATTATTCTGACATCACCTTATATTCCAGTAATTCTAAGGGTCAGATTTTCCTCTGCTGCAGACTAAAAAAAAATCTTAATTGCTTTCACATTTACATGTGTTTATCCCATCTCTCTAATGCCTTCTAGTTTCTTCCTTCTAGTGTTTATTAAAGATCTGTAAAGAAATGACTAAATAGAAATTAGAATTTTACGCAGAAGTGGAAACGATTGAGACAAAGAGAAAAGCAAATCAATCTTTACACACATGTAAAGCTCATAGAAATTTGAAGCTCATGTAAAGATTTGCTGAATAAAAATGTAGGTTATTGTAAAAAGAGAATTCTGATTTTTTTTATAAAGTTATTCTTTTCCTCAAGGTTGAAACACTTTTATTCTTTAGACAGTGTTAGTACAATCATGATATCCAACAAGTCAGTTATAAAGTAACTCTTAGATTTTCAGTTCTGTTATCTCGGAATGCATCTCCTATTATTGTCCATTTCTTAATATTAATTCTTTTCTGAAATGAATGCCAGAATCGTTCCTTCAATCTCCTACTGCAAAACTAATAACATTTCTTTGTGTTCCCCATCTTCTCTTGCTCCAGGGAAGATTTCTAAATATGCAAACTCTTTATAAAGAACCGGTGTCACTCTGCTGGGGTTCTAATAGACTTGAAAAATCGACATTTCTACTTGAAAGCTATGAACCTTAAAAACAAAACACACGCAACTTTCATATGCTTATTTTTCTTTTTTCCACAAGTCAGAAATAAAAATAGAGGCCAAAAATATGAGGAAAAAAGTTTAACTTCAATTAGCATGATCTCTAGAAATACTAGAAAAATGTTTTCTCAATCATATATTTCAATTAAAATATGTTTTCAAGAATATACTGTAAATATCTGAACATATTAATTTTAACAATCTTTATAAAGACTTTTCCAGCAAATAGATCAGTCGCTCTCAGGTTTAATGTAACAAACTTCCGTTACTTGGAATAATACATCATTCTAAATTTTTTTACAGTTTCTAATTTTCAAAGGTTAGACTTAGTGCTTATGATAGGCTGCTAATTTTGCTCTCAGCTATGGTCTTCAAAACAAGTCTTCCTCTATGTCAGACCTCTACATTTGTGCTAAGCCAATTAAGGAGAGTAGTATGAATTACTGATATAAAATAAATATAAAAATACATTTTAATGATCAGTCTTCATATAAAGACTGAGGCTGCATTAAGCAAAACCATTTGTGACAATTTCAAATGGATCCGAAGTTCGCTGAGGACAAGCACCCCTTCCTACACATCTCTGTTGTTCTGCTATGTTGCTGTGCTGTTAAGAGGCTGTCAAGAATTATTTGTAGTTTTAATAAATTCTATCCTTTGTTTCTTATTTATGTTGAAACTAAGTTAAGTATCAAACAAAACTGTCACTGTAATATGATTCATATTAACATTTTAAATATTTAAAGTGATGACAGAAGATCTATATTTCTTTAAAGTCTTTCCTGGTCTTTTTTTAAATAAATGACTACATACTTATATTTAAGGTTCATCGAATAAGTTAATGAATCTAGAATCTAGATATTAATAAAAGTTCAGAATGTCATAAATAAAAGCCATAAATTTATAAAAGTCCATAAGCAGAGTCCTTGGCAGATTGCATAATGTTTGTGAAAATGTCCAGTTGAGCATCCCAATGAATTTCCTAAGCATACAGTGTTCAAACTACTAATATTTAAAAAAAGTCATCCTTTCACTATTGTTATAGTTGAGACAACTTCAAGATGATGAAATTAAGGAGTGCATGGAAATAAAGATTCCAGAAGCACCAACCCACGCACCACTTTAGTTTTGTCAATATTGCCTCCCCACAAATGGAAAAAGTATTAAGAACTCAAAGATGGACAGTTTTCCATAAAAGACCAATTTGAATTTTCTTCACATTTAAATACCATTTTACAGTATTCTCTATATTTATCTAATAATCTCTACATTTGTGTGAAATAATTCATTTACAAAGAAATTTGGAGGCCATCCAAAGTAACTAATATAAAAGCACGTCTGATTTCTTTGGCATGTTAAAAAACAGATTTCCTTTTTCACTTTTCCAGCTAAAGTTGTAAAACATACAAAGGGTATCAAAAATGCGTGTTTTCTGTTCATTAGCTAAATCTTTCTTCCATTCAGAAAGTAACATTTGTGATAAAATCTAAAATGGTATTTTAATGGAACGATCTGATCCATAACAGAACTATAATGTGGGAAGCCCATGACAGTAAGAAATAGACAAAGGCAAATGTCCTACTCAGTACCCCCGGCACGTGTCACAGAACTAATTCATGGCACTCGATAATTATTTGTTTAAAAAATAACCCAATCAAATAATAAATCAATCAGCAAACTAAACTAATGAATAAAAAAGAAAACAGAGAAACTAACAATTTGTGGTTTTCACTAGATAAAAACAAAACAAATTGCTCAATTTTATGTTCTATAAAATAGTATACATGTTTTGGGAGTAAGCAGATGAAAATAACAAGCAGGATATGATTACACGAATTTTAATTTATTACTGCCCCTCACTTATAGCTAAATTTATAAATGAAAATTTATAAATGAAAATAACATTATTTTTGGAAATTTGGGAGAGGGGGGAGTAAAATTAGCCTTAATCTCCATTAGTGCCATCAGGTATAACTTTTCTAATTTACTGTTGTCATCCAAGCTGCTGGCATAATGTAAGCATTCAACAAATGTTTGTAGAATGAATACATCTTAACCTCATAACACTATTATTTTCATTTTTAAGTAACATCTTCTAGTATCTACCATAAATATATCTTTTTAGAGTTATAATTCTATTCAACATACTAGATGGTATACTTAGTTGGCTTAATATCATAAAATAAACACTTTTCAGGTTTCTGCCTAGTTTTTATAATTATAATTTTTAAAGACTGCATAAAGCTCATCATGAAATTTATTATAACTTACTAAACTCATCTTCTGTCACTGAACATTTAAGTTGTTTTTCAGGGTTTTTTTTGTGATTACAACTAAAGCTACAAAGAACATCTTTGCAAATATAGCACTTCACTTTTTCATGAAATTTCTTGAGAAGTGAAATTACAGAAATCGAACAAATATCTTTATAGCTACCTGCTATATATTATCATGTTGTTTTCCAAATTAATATACCATTTAAAATATCATCTGTAACATGTGAGTATAACAATTCATTCCATTCATAGAGCTGTATTTGAATCAGTAGGTCACTTTCCCTTGGGATTGCTTTGTAAATCCAACCAAATCTGTGAAATATTCTATTGTTGGCTAGTTTAAATTTTTTAACTTCTTCATTGAGCAAATATCTAACAGAAAGTATTTAAACTAACTTTCTGAACAGTGTTATTTAAGGAAGTATAAGAATCTATTTCAAAAGAGTCAAAAAGTGTGCTCAATTTTGCTTGTTTCTAGTGTATGAAGATTCTTTCATTGTTCCTAAGAATAAAAATATAAAACTCATAGTGACTCATGGATCAGGCACAGTGCTTACCACTTCTATATTTACATAAATTTTTCTATTGAAACTGACAGTGGATTTCAAAGCATCAGTAATTCTCGTCTTTAATAATTCCATCTGTTTATAAAGAAAGGTAAGAAATAGAACATTTCAGAATCTAAATCCCCCAATTCAGAAAACTTAAAATAAAATAGCATGAACTCAAAACTTACAGTTTTAACATCATTTTCATGATGAAAGATATACTCAAACAAAGCCTATGAAGAAAATAATGCCAAAAATACATTAGATTTTATTTTAACAAAAGCACTTTACTGTTATATCAAAACTCAAAGGCCATTTTGACATAAATCCCATGTTACCCTGAAGTGCCTAGGATTTATAAATAATAAGTCTACCCATCGATTGTCACAATCACCCATTTAAAATATGGCTATTTACAACCGCTTCCTGTTTTTACAGAATACAAACTTGAAAGCTCAAGTAATTGAATAATTTTTTCATATTATACATACTATTTTATTGGAAAGAGTCAATGAAAAGACTAACGTTAGGATTGCCATAAAACAGACACACCCAATGCTTTACACTCTTTATATATATTATACAGTGATTAGGATATTAATAATGACACTTTCAACATGAAAAATCTGGAAGTTCTTTCCAAAACAAAGTAGAGTTTAAGTATAAACTGGGACGTCTTTTGCATCATGATTTAATTGAGGGAGAGGCCTCCACTGACTGCACTCCTTGGTCAGAAAACAGCACTGGTATCAACCAGCCATCCAGCCACCTTAAGTAGATGGCCTAAAAAAGTAGGGAATCAGATACCCTATACGGGTTGGTTTTAATACTCCACTCTCATAAAGGAAAGAGAAATAAGTAAAGCTTTATGATTTTGCTAAATGAAGTTGACTGGACTGCTGTCAAGTAAGACATCTACTTCTGATTTAAATGTCAAGTCTGTATGGCCAGTGTCCATTTGCATTTTCCCTAGAGTGTGTGATATTTAGTAAATATGTTAAATGCCATTAGAACCAAGATTAAGAAGGAGTGCAGCACTCAAGTACGGAATTCACAAAGATTACTTCTAAAAAACCGAGCTAGGCTTAAACCAGTTTCCAGAAGACAAGTGCTCCTGGCTCTGCATTATTCCACGCTCACCATCAAGTTTTTTAATACTGGAAAGGTCATAAACACCCTTCCTTCCTCCTCTTCTCTCTCCTCCTCTCTCTCTCTCTCCTTTCCTCCCTCCCTCCCTCCCTGTCATATTCACTTACTTTCTCTTTAATTTAAAGGAGCATTTAATCTTTGAATAGTTCGAATTACTAATATAGTTAGCTTGCCACTGTCTGGCTTGAGTAATCCTTACTGACAAGCCTGATTAATTACTAATTAGAAGGAGTACATATTTTTTATCTTCTTTTTGACAGTCCTAAAACACTACAGAATAGAAAATTATTTTTCTGAGAACAGTCCAAGCTGAAAAAAAAAAGAAATACACACACATATAGATGACCTAAGCTTCATTTCCCGAAGACAATGCTGCATATCTGCTTTCTTTGTTATAATTTACTGTTCTTTGTAAGGAGAAAAGAGTTTCCTATAATAATGGTATTCTGTATATACTTTATTTCTGATTGACTTTCCTTAACTCAAGACTAAGAGGAATTTTACATATTAGAATAATTAAATGTTTCCATTTCAATCAAAATATGGCCTCTCCTTCACAAATTTTTATCCACTCCTTACAACATTATTATGATAATACTTCTAACATTACTTTGTAACATAAAGTAATTTTAAACACATACCTTTGCCAATTTGGGTTTCTGGGCATATTTTGTTAAATTCAGTCTAGATAAATTTATAAAAGGTCCATCAGGACTCGTAAGCATGGAAGCCTATGAAGAAAAATGATAGAAGAAGAAATATAAAACTTTCTCTAGAAACATAAATTGAATTTAATGTGCATAAAAATTATAAAGGCAAAAGTAAAAAGAATGACCTTTTAAAATTTTCCATATAATTCTCCATTATAACAACAGTGAAAAATGATGTAACATAAAGTTACTTTGGTAATCCAAGGCTATGGCAAAGCTGACAGAATTTACCGTTCCCAGCCTGACAAATCTCCCAGATGAGCTGGTAATCGGGCGAGCTGTGTAGGCGGTTCTGGGTGTTCTAATGGCCTGTTCCATAGTGCCCGGCCTTCCACTTTGCGTGCTGGGTCGCAGGAAACCTGTAATGGGTCTTCCAGCTTGAGTGATCGGTCTGTGACAATTATAAATTGTTAAAATACAAAGAAGATCAATAAAGGACGATTCTCAAACAGTCTGATCAGTATTTAGTGGCAGGGAGTATGAACCAGAAGTATATACCTGACAGCTTGACTAGGCCCTCCCATCTGATTAGCTCCAGGGAGTTTCAAAGATGTTCCAGGGCCTATGACATGAGACAGTAAATTCAATTTATATATTATTTATTAAACTATAACAACTGTCAGCTAACACAATTTTCAGAAATGTGCTTGTCTGATGAAAAGACATTAATAACAGGAAATATAGAGAAATGTGTTAGAGACAAATATTTATTATCTATCGTGTTACTTATGTTATCGTATTTAATCTTCACACTGTCTGTGAGGTAGGTAGTAACAACACATTTAGCAAAGGCTTAACAAGTTAAATAAACAGGTCAGCCTGGGATTCCAACTCACTCAAGACCAGCAGGCTCCAAAGCTCCAAAGCATCAAATGATGGTTTTATAACTTGGTTTATTTTCCATAAAACTTCTCCCAATAAAAGATCATTTTCCTACAATATCTAGAATTTAGATATTTTAACTCCAAAAGAGCAAAATGATGGGGAAAAAACATTTTAAGATGAACATATGTATTTTTTTCTCAATTTCCATTTGAAGCTTTAAAACAGCTATAACTTTCCAAAACATATAAATGACTGATAATTGTCATAATGAATAAATTACCAGTAAGACCACCACAAGTCACGATAATCATCCAATACCATTTGCATCAGCTCTCCTGCGAACTGGGGACTGGGCCTCTGCGGCAATCCCAATAGGCATTCACAGCCCAGCAAATCACCCCATTACATTACATCATGCATTAGAGCAAACTGCCTTAAATTATTACAATAAAGTGGTGTTTTGGATGATCAGTTTTTAAAAAGCCTTTTAGAATACTTCTGTTTGGATGCTTCCTGTGTTTAGGCTCTCAGATAAATAATCTTCTGATAGATAAGCAGTTCAGATGGAATGCATTTTTATAAAATATTTTTAAATGCATAACATAACTTTTATTGAAAGATTCTCTTCCATCAATCGCACACCTTTAAGTTTAAGATAATATAATTGAATCGTGGCAGGAAGCCTTTGTACTGTAAGGCAGAATAGAGACCATTTACTTGAGGCAGTTTTCTCATGTACATGTCTTGTGTTTGTTTTTCATAAACACAAGCACTCCTCCTCCTAAGGGCATTTCATTTACTTAACACGAAACCAACACTTACGTGGGACTTGGGCAATGGCATTTTCATCCAGCATCATTTCTGCAATTCCTTCCTGATCTATATCAATTTCATCTACATACACCATTTCAGTCAGTGCTCGTGCTTTTAAAATCCAAGCTGCCTAAAAAGCATGGATAAAATGAAGCATATATTAAACAGCACTAGAAGTACGGCACGGCCCATAGAAACCGGCCATCCTTTATTATTTTCTAATTTTTTATTAAGCATGTTTACAACTTAAGGCATTATACTAATTTAAAGGGCTGTATCAAGAAACTAATACAAGAACGCAAGGTTATTATTAATCAAGAAACAGCCAATACATCAATTACCCGATAAATAAAAGTGCGGTAACTACCTGGTAGTCTTCTCACATGCCTTTTTATAAGTAAAAGAAGATCTTTAGAGAAAATTTAACTAGAACAGTAATTTGAAACCAAATGAATAAAGCTATAGCTTCCCTCCTCTTTGTCTTCCTCCTTCAGGGCCAAGTGCTTCGTGATGAATTTCCTGATCCTTGGACTCTTGTCTTTCTCATAGAGCGTTCTCTTTATGCTTCTATCATCATGTATTTACCAAACACTGTAATTATGTGGCCGTCGGTCAGTCGCCCGTTCCCCAGGAAACAAGCATGTTTCACCTCGTTCAATTTGGTTTTTGTACATAATAGGTATTCTAAAAAATGCTGAATTAAACTTAGATCAGTTTCTCCCAGTTCCCAATAATCAATACAATCTTGGCTGCTTTGTGATCTGGCTGGTAGAAATTTTGCTAGAAAGCGAGGGAAAAAATTAGAAAGGTAATTAAGGAACCTGGAAAATATCAGCTTTGCTTTACCATGAGAAATTGAAATGAAAGGTGTCCACAATTAAATATCTGGTTAAACACTGAAAACTACTTTATCAGAAACGTTTACCTTCCTGCTTCACCACAGAACAGTAAAATTCAGTGTCCTGGGACAATATGGGCAGAAGCCAATTCCTGAAGTAGCAGCATAGAACCGACTCTACACAGGACAGAGGAAGTAGCATCAGGGGAAACCTGGGGCGGGGTCGGAGCTCACCCACCATACCAGGGATCTGGCTATGAACCCCACTGAGTGAAAGCAGAGGGACTGAGAGTGAAACAGACGAGAGCTACCAGAGGTCCAAGAGGTCCTCACGTGAAGAACCTGAGATGCATTCCTACTGCGCACCTCCTAATCACATAGCATTGGGCAGGGTTCTGAAAAGGAAACATAAGATTCAGACATGGACCCTAATTTCCCTGAATACGTGACCTATTGGAATAAATGGTAAGGCAAAGCAGAGCATGATAGGTGCCAAGTGTGTGATGCGGAAAATGGTTTTTATAGGAATTAGATTACAGTAGAGATCATTTTGTGGGCTAAAGTAACTGGAATGCATATATTAAAAAGATTTTAAGAAAAATCTTCATGCTTTCATTTTAAAGGAACTAAAGAAGGCCGCCTTCACAATTCATTTAGAGTCCCAAAGTGAAATTACATTTGTTAGATGATTGGGTTTTTTTGGCTTAAATTTTTCTGGTTGAAGTTGACTAGTAAACTTACTAGTAAACTTAACTTACCTAGTAAGTTGGAATAAAATGTTTCAAATGGTATGTGTAAATTTAATAGTATTGCATGAGCAGAACATGAACTCAAAAACTGTTAAGAAAAAAAAAAATCAATTCCAGTTGGCAGTGCATGTAACTGTGGGAGACACCGCAGTGTAGAAACAACCTAAGGTTTTCATTCATAAAAGATCAGGAAAGTTATCAGATCTATACGGCTATTCTCAGGGGTCAGGGCAGTCAACACTGGCTTAGACAAACTTCAAAGATGGAAATAAGTAGTCCTGATTCATCTTAAGTTCCCACCATTCATAATGCCCTGCAAGCATGCGAGGTCTGTAATTCTTTGCCCAGCACTCTCTGGTGGACAGGAAGGACTGTAGTGTTTTCTGTTGGAACTGAGAAGCAGGACGTGGGCTTCACTGGTTCGTTCTGATAAGACTGGAGGCCGCCTATTGTTTGCCAGGTCCTGGAAACAGAGGTGAATTAAGCCACAGTCCCAGTGGTAGCCCATCAGAATTTCAGTGTTACGAGGAAAGTATAACAACAAAAGTCGGGAGTATGGTATGAGAGGACAGAGAAAGGCACCCAGCTCTCTCTCACGCAAAATGTTAAAACAATTAATTAATTAAAAATAGAATAAAAAGAAAGGGAAAAAAATTAAAAACACACAAACTTTCACGACATGACAATTTAATCTGCAAACATAACATAACTACACACATGGAGGTGGAGGGCAGGATAGAGAAGAGTTTGGCCCCGTGGTCAAGACCAGAAAGCTTGTGCCAAGCAAAGGGAACAACAGGACAAAGGCAGCCAGCCTAGCCCCAGGGCTCATGGCACGTTGGCAACTCCCAGAGAGTTGAGTATGGATGAAAAATCAAGTTCCGCTGAGGCAGCAGTCAGAGAAGAAGCTGGAGAAAAAGGCAGGGGCAGATGATGGACCCTGCACGCCACAGTGAGGTATGTGGATTGTTATTGTGGCGATGAGATAATGGAGCTTCAAAACTATGATCTGGAGTCCTAGTTAACTGAGTTTCCAGAAGCCAAGCTTTTATTATTATAGTATCATTTATATAGTCGCACGTGTTTTAACTATTTCCATGTCCATTCTGTTATCTCTCTATATGCCGTCACGCTTCGTGACATCGATCTTCCCATCAACCCCCCACATGTTAAGGAGGTGCAACTTTTTTTTTTTTAATTCGACTAAGCCAAACATAGGAAAGCAAATCCACAATTCCTTCCCTCACCAAATGAACAAGGTCTTTAGTAGCCAAATAAGAACATCTTTTTTTATTCCTTAAGAATTCATTTTTTCAAAAAGGTAAATAGATTTATATTTGTTTCTAAAATCTAGTTCTTAAGTAGAAATACTGTGATTTTTTGATAAAGTTTTGTAATAACATCTACCTAAACTATTATTTAATTTTAAATTTCATCAGTATTTGAGAATATTAATCTTCCTGACTTTCCTTCTGTCCCAACAAAAAATGACCTTGAAAATCATATATCACTGCTTGATTAAACATCAGATTGTATTCAAAGAACTGCTCTTGGCAATGTGAACAATTCTTGAGATTTTAAAAAAACCGCAGATGGGGCTTTGGCTTTAAAAAATTAAAATTTTTATTTTGGAAAAAAGCCAAGTATGTTTTACAGCCCTAAAATCCTCTGCCTGTTTAAATGAAAAAACAAAGTTCAAAACTAATCAGTGATTAAAACACATAATAAAGCACAATCTGTGATCCCAAACTGCCCCCTGAATCTTAATAAAAACATAAATCAGTTTTATCAGATATGTTTAACCTGTTGATAATTGACAGGGTCATGCAATTTATGTAAATAATTTGGAAACCTATGTATTGGGTTAAAGAAGTACAAATTAGTAGTTGATAGCTGGTCACAGGGATGCGGAGCAAGGCATAGAGAATGCAGTTGGCATTAATATGATGGCTAGGTGGAGGGCCAGCGGAGGGAGGGATCAACTGGGGGGATTGTTTTATGAGCTATACAGATGTCTAACCAATGTACTGTATACTTGAAACTAATTAAAATAAATAAATTAATTTTTAAACACCTATGCATTGGAAGTACTGTGAGAGCCATTAAAATAATAGATGCTTAGAAACATTTTTTAAAAGAAAAAAAGCATAGATTCTCTTAATCTAAATGAGTAATCATCACATCAATTATTTCCTTTTATCTATGAAACATAATCCTATCTCATTCACCTACTGAGTTTGTCTATAGGACATCACTCGAGAAAAATATCTGCCAGCTAACATCAGGAAAATATTGACTTGCTGTACCTTCTGTGAGGTTAATCCAATTTTAGTTACGAAAATAAACATTGAAAAAGTAAAAAGTTTACTGACTGAGCAAAAACATGTTTAATTTGTTCTGTTCCTTGTAATAGAGAATGCAAGGCCGATAGTTCAAGGGCATGTAAGAAAAAAGTTTGCTAGATTATTATTAGAATAAAACCATCAAAAGAACAGTCTGTCTAACCTGAATTTGACATCAGGAGAATCAGGAACATCTGACACTGCCTACTCTATCAAAATAAAAACAGGCACAAAATATTTAATTATTATTGTAAAGCCTTATTTTGAAGTTGTAAAAAATGTACAAATTAAAAGAGGCAGAAAGTATATAAAGTGAGCTCAAAACAGTCTGGTCAGCCTTGTTCTCTTTTTATTCCTTCAGCTCACTATTCAGCAGATAATTAAGTCAACAGTAACATAACAGGAAAGGAAGACTAAGTACGGGTCCTTCATGGAGTCCCTGTGCTAGTCTGAAACTTTCAAATGCCCTTTCGAGTTTTAAAACCATTCCAACAATGCAAATTATTGTTTTAACTTCATTTTAATCAAAATCTTCCAAAATCATTAAAAGCAAAAAGCACATTACTTACTCTATTTGTAATTTATGTCCTTCTTAAATGACATGCAAAAAATAGTTTTGCGCCTTCTCTCAATTTGGAAATTACGATTATGAACATTTCAAAGACAAATGGTATATTTTTAAAGCACTGGTCCCCAAACTTTTTGGCACCAGAGACCTGTGCTCCCATGAGAATCTAATGCCTGATGATCTGAGGTGGAGCTGAGGGGGTGATGCCAGCGCTGGGGAGCAGCTGCAATTACAGATGTAGCTTAACTCACTGGCCCGCTGCTCACCTCCTGCTGTGCGGCCCAGTTCCTAACAGGTCACAGCCTGGGTGTCGGGGACCCGTTTTAAAGGAGAGTACTACATTTTAATCTATTTACAATGTTTGTTTAATACCACACAGGCCTCCATAAGAGTACTTCGTATATTGCTTTCTTCTGAAAGGTTTGATGAATACTCACGAACCCCATATGAGGTTCAAATCGTTTATTTACCTAAAAAAAAAATAACTGTTAACATTCTCTCTCACTTGGCAGGGCAAACACCTGGCAATATTTAAGCTCTCTGATTTACAGCTCTCTCCTTATTTCCAGACTTACTAAAAATCCTCTTGGGCTAAAAGCTTCGCTGGCCAGGCGTTCTCCTAATCAGACCGCT